GAGCTCATCGAGATCTACATGAAGCCAGTGTTAGTTTTTTTGGAATCGGTCACTGGCCGAATCGTGACAGGTTTTCCGGAAAACGGCTTGTTTCGGGCATTCTAGGCTGATTCCTCAGTGATGGGTGCATCGATTTGAACTCGGAAGGTGTCCATTCGATAGAGCTCATCGAGATCTACCTGAAACCAGCGTTAGTTTTGTTGGAATCGGTCACTGGGCGAATCGTGACAGGTTTTCCTGGAAAAAGCCTTGTTTCGGGCATTCTAGGCTGATTCCTCAGTGATGGGTGCATCGATTTGAGCTGGGAAGGTGTCCATTGGATAGAGCTCATCGAGATCTACTTGGAACTAGTGTTGGTTTTGTTGGAATCGGTCACTTGGCGAATCGCGAGAGGTTTTGGTGTTGTTGTGTTGTTTTTTCCTGTTTTTTTTGTGGAAAAAAGGGTTTTTTGCCGGAAAGGATTGTTTGTTTTTGGGAAAAAGCGAGTGCGTTGGATAGAGCTCATCGAGTTCTACTTGGAACCAGTGTGATCTTTGTTGGAATCGGGCGTGGGGCGAATCGCCACAGGAAATACTCGAATCCAGACCTGGGATATCCTACGTCAGCTAAACAAGGTTCATTTGTTAAACAACGTTATATATTTAGAAGTTTTAATCATTATTTATTTCTACATCCATTTGTTATATAAATTTATGGTTCAATGATGGACAATTGAATTAACTCATAGTAAACAACCTATATGGTTGTATCTTGGTTAACCATAACTTTATCAAATGCATAATTACAATTCAACAGAAAATAAAGCAGCTATTTATAGTTTTTCTCGTCGTACAGCTCGACAACATTTATCATCTAGATGAACAAATCCACCAGAAATTATTTCTCTTTATGATCAAACAACAACAACAACAAATAAAGGAAAATTTATTCGAACAGTTGAACAATCAATTTATGGAATAGATGAAACGAGTTAGTAACGGATATTAAGAATAGAATCCTCTCGAATATTCACGATCGTGACCGAATTCGGGCACTCGTGAAATATTCCTCCGACAACACTTTAGTTAACCCTTGGACGAACCATTACTTAATGAATCGACAAAATTTCTTTGAGACTTTATATTTAATATAAGCAGAGTGTATTGTTGATATATTCATAAAAAGATTTTTTTTAAATCTCTAAAGTCCTTTTTGGGCTAAAGCAGCACCCATTCAAACTAGCTTATGAACAGTTCGAGCAGGTCAATAAAATAAAACTAGATCTAATAGATTATCAACATAATCGATTTCATAAAGTGATAGTAGGACAACAACAATGCATTTACGTTCAAATCATCTATGGGTTCTTTTTTGTTTTCAATAGAGAAATATAATAGTAAATCCATTATTTGTTGAATTAGATGAAAAATTTTCTTGTTGATTATTGATATGAATTTCATCTAGATAATTATTGATATAAATCTGTTGTGTATGCTGAAAAAGATTTTTATCAATTATCAGGTAGAATGAATCCATTCTTAAAACAATTTCCATCTCATCGGACAATCCTTGATTATTTACCAATTCTAAAAACTGATGATGTTCCTCTTAAAGTAACACGGTCAACATTTATCTATTGTGCACCATCTATGTTCAAGAGAGAGAAAGAAAAAAATACTTTACACAAATTTGTTATTTATTTTAAGGTATTCGAAAAGTTTTAAATAAAGTTCAACTTTATAATTATCTTGATGAAACAAAATCAAAATAAACTATTGAATTATTTCTATATGATAGGAAACGTTTATCTTAACACAAGATTATTGTCTAGATGGTTAAATTCTAAATTGAGATATATTAAATCGAGAATAATATATTCATATATCAGTTGTTTATCAAATTTATAGAGAACCAGCAAAACATTGAACGAACCAACTGCATTTACATATTGTCTTCAACAAAGACCAGTTGTCGATGTTAATATGGTTATTAATCAACCAATAATGACATCTTATACTTATACAGATCGATGTAGAAATAGAGTTCAATGTGCTTCTAACTTCTATTATCTATAATCAATGTGGAAGATAAATAGACGTAATGATGATAAACATTCGTTAGAGGATTTATTAATCTTGAGTTTGCAAAGAAGATTTTTTTGGAGAAAGAAACTCTTTCAACTGTTCAATCGATTTTCTTCCGAGATAATATAGATATAAATAGGGTATCAATACTATGAAAAGAGTTTATGCTCTTAGATAAATCTTACGTAGATACTTTTTATTTATTAAAAATAAATGCGGCAAAAGTGCACTCTCTCCGTAGGAATAAACAAAGGACATGGACTATTTTCATGGTATTCATAGCTCATTTCGATCTATGTAGTGCGTGTAGTGTCAATTCAATAGTGAATGAACAGTTGAAGAACGTTCCTATGTCAATGAAAAGAATTAAGGAAAAAAAACGTTTAAATAGAATGTATTTTTGACCGTTTTTCTCAGTAGTAATAGCTAGAACAAATCAGAGAATATATTTGAACAGTTGAAACCGTTTTATATTAAGATGAGTACTTGTCAAATAGTCATTATCAGTCGTTGCGTCTAAACGATTCTCTAAATCGGTTTTCTGTATTCTGTCGATGATGTTATAAAGACTATAAACTGAGGGATATTTTATTTTATTCAGATATATTTTTCTCTATTATATCAACTTATTTGCGGACTTTCGCTTTTCCAGAGATGTTTCTTTCGAAAGCAGAC